GCTGGTCATGAAAACACAAATAGTCCAATTAAAAAGTGGGGTACAGAACTAAATTGAAAATTCTCAATAGAGGAATCTAAAATGTCTGAAAGAAACTTGCGAAATTGCTCAACATCTTTAGCCATAAGGGACATGCAAATCAAAACAACTCTGAGATACCATCTTACTCCTGTCAGAATGGCTAAAATAAAAAACACCAATGACAGTTTATGCTGGAGTGGATGTGGAGAAAAGGGGAACGATTCTCCATTGCTGGTGGGAATGCAAACTTGTATGACCACTTGGGAAATCAGTGTAGTGGTTTCTCAGAAAATTGGGACTCAATATACCTAAAGACCTAGCTATACCAATCCTAGGCATATGCCCAAGGACACTCTGCCATACCACAAGGACACTTGCACAACTATGTTCATATCAGCTTTATTCGTAAGAGCCAGAAACTAGAAACAACCTGGATGTCACTCAACCAAAGAATGGATAAAGAAAATGTGGTATATTTCCTCGGTTAAAAACAATGGTTAAACATGGTTTAAAAAATGACATCAGGAAATTTGCTGGCAAATAGCTAGAACTAGAAAACAATCATCCTAAGTGAGTTAATCCAGACCCAGAAAGACAAGCATGGTATATATTTACTCATAAACAAATATTGGCTGTAAAGTAAATAATAACCATGCTACAATCCACAGACCCAGAGAAGCTAAGTAACAAGGAGAGCTCAAGAGGTCAAGGGAGATGCATGAATTTCATTGTGAAGGGGAAATAGAATGGATATTGCCAGTGGACAAGGGGAGGGGTCTGGAAAGGGGTGGTAATGGCAACAGAAGGGACCATGTTGGGGGAGGATGGAGGGAGAGAGTACTGGGAGAGACAACTAGAATCTGGGGGCATCCCTGGGATGAGCTAGAAACCTAGAGCAATGGAAACTCCAAGGAATCTATGAGGCTGACCCTAGGTAAGACTTCTAGCAATGGGGAATATGGAGCCTGAACCACCCACCTCCTACAACCATCAAGACTTCCAGGGTAGAGGCCGTGACACCAACTCAGCCATAAACCCTTCAACCTGCAATCTGTCCTGGCTACAAGATGTACCAGGGTAAAGATGACACAAAATTTGTGGGAGTGACCAACTAATGACTGGCACAGCTAGAGACCCATACTCTGAGAAGGAGCTTACCCCTAAGGGCCAGGACACAGAGGTAGGATACCCCAGAGACCTAGCATAACACTAAACACAGATGGCAAAAAAGTGACTGAAATGATTCTTAATGGTATTCTGCTATACTCATAGCCCAATTATCATCAGGGACGCTTCATCCAGCAACTGATGGAAACAAATGCAGAGACCCACAGCCACACTTTAAGCAGAGTTGGGGGAATCCTGCAGAAGAGGGGGAGAAAGGATTGTAGGAGCCAGAGGGGTCAAGGACACAAGAAAATTCACAAGCTCAAGTATCCTGGGCTCATAGGGGCTCACAGAGCCGGAATCAACAATCAGGGAACCTGCATGGGTCTGACCTGGTCCCTCTGCATATATGCAACAGTTGTTTGGTCTTCCCATGAGACTGACTCCTAACAGTGGGAACAGGGCTGTCTCTGTGTTCCCTGCTTTTAGGACCCTTTCTTCCTACTGGGTCACCTCATCCAGCCTTACTAGGAGAGGAGGTACCTAGTCTTATTGCAACTTGATATACCATGGCTGGCTGTGGGAGACCCACCTATATCTGAAGACAGACAGTGTAAGAAGATTCGATGTAGTGGGGGATGGGATAGAAGGAACTGGCAAGAGGGGAGGAAGAGAAAACTGATTGTGATGTAAGCAAATAAGTGGTGAGGATGGTACATTTTATGACATAGTTTGCTAATGTTTAAATGCAGGAAAGGTGGTAGTAGTTAATTATTAATCAATACCTGCCAACTACTGTGAAAAACCATGCTAAAGCTTAAGAGTGGCTTGGTTCTATAGCAGCTGCTTAAATTGTACAATGCCCTTGTTTTTTTTTATCTTGTTATCTAAGCTGTGACAAAATCTATCTGTAAAGGTAAGAATATACTGAGCTTGAGGCCACTCTGAGCAACATAATAAAGTCTTCTTTCCCAAAAATGCTGCTATTACACCAGATCACAATTAAGAGAGAGACTATGTAGTAGACTCCACTTAATGAAAAGACAAATATCCTTATCTACACATATGGACTTGGACACAAAAAGGAGTAGAAATACACACAGATGTCAACATTAGCTATATTCTGAAAAATTGATATGATTTTTAGTGTTGCCACAATGATAAAAATCCAGAATCACCCAAGAGATGGACTTCTGGGCATGTCCACGAGGGATTATCTTCATTCCATTAACTAATGTGGGGAAAATGCATCTTAACTATGATATGAGTAAGACCATTCCCTGTCTGATGATCAGATCCTGGACTGTACAGAACAAGCAGAGCATTAGCACACACATATTCATTACTCTCTTCTGACTATCAGTGGAATGTGACCAGGGGATCCAAGATCCTGATACCTTTGCTTGCAACCTCATGATGGACTGGGAGCTAAATCAAGCCTTCCTCCCTTTGGTTATGTATGTTGTTACAAGCAATAAAGAAACTAAGGAAGCTGGAGAGATGGCTTATCAGTTAAGAGCAATGACTGCTCTTCTAGAAGACCTGGTTCAATTCCCAGCACCCACATTGTAGCTAATAGCTGTCTGTAACTGCAGTTCCTGGCGATCCAACTCTTTGTTCTGGCCTCAGACAGCATTAGGAACACACATGCTGTACAGAGACACATGCAGGCAAAATACTCATATGCATAAAATAAAAATAATTTCCAAAAAGCAACTAAGAAAGTGGACTTCTTTCTAGATTCACTTTTTTTGCTTTTTTAATGTTTCATACAATGAACATACATTATTCTTACAAGTAGGTGGAAAGACACTAAGACCCCCTAAAAATTTCAAAGGAAAACAAGTATTTATTCAATTCCCAAATGGAGTTGTTCTATGGTTAATACAAATATGCAAGAAAAACTATCTCACCAGAAAAAGCAATTTATTTCATTACATTAAAAGGTAAGACCCATAATATAACCACAGAAAGTTAGACAACTATAAATGTAAATACCCAACTATCACACAGAGAGAATAATGGCTCCCCTCCTTTATATCCCAAAAAACGAAAAGAATCAAAAGTCAAAGCAGGATACAACTTTCACCTATTATTGTAGGACTACAAGCTTTCTTTCTTGGTGTTATGGTTCTTATTGATAGGCTTATTGACTTCCTTTTCTAACTTTAGTATGCTATAGTAGCAACAGAGCGAGAAGAAAATGGAGCTGGTTTTGATGACTTGCCACTGAGAGACTAACCTATGGGAATATTTTGAAATAATAGAAACATTTTTACTCACAAAGTTAATCACAGAATTATCTGTAATACTAAAATTTTGGAAATAACCTAAATTTCCAACAATTAATAGGAAGTTAAGCAAATTATACTAAAACTATGCAATAAAATATATTACCAGCAATACAAAATATCTGCAAATATCACTAATAACAATACATAATATTTAGAGAGAAAATAAGAACAGAAATTGTATTATAAAGAACATAGAGAATCAAGAAATGTAAAACATTCATATCCCCAAAAGGACAAGATATTAAGTGACAATCTCAGGATAAAGCACTCAGACATTTTATCACCTTTTATTGCATTTCTGATTTCCAATTTTTCTATAATTAACACATCAAAATTCAGACTGAGGAAAAAATACCTTTTTAAAAGTGAAGTAAATAGCAGATTTTTTAGATGTGTTCACTTTCCCCCACAACACAGTCAAGAGAGTCCTGAGAGCCTTAGCCTCTAAGCAGGGGGGCAGGGGAGCCAGGCTGTGAAGAATGGCCATGAAGGGGTCAGAGCAAAGAAGAGAGGGCACAAGCTAGAAGGGCCAGGGAGGCAGGGATTGGCAAGGGAAAGTCAACTAAGGGAAGGGGCATTGTGGAGCCAGGGAAGACTCTGACTGCTCAGCGGAGGTCTTTCAAGACCCTTAGTAGGCACTGACGGTGTTCTCAAAGGGCAGGGTCAAGAGGAATTTTTAGGAAGACACATGGATTCCTTAAGGAACAGGGGAGGAAAAGGGGGGGGGAGGTGAACTATTTAGGAAAGAGAGGGAGAAGGACAAAGGCAATGGCAATGAGAATGAAAGGAAGAGGCTGATGGCCACAGCAAACTCTCTACTCTATTGCTAAACCAAATACAGTTTGGTCATTGCAGGAACCTGCCAATCAAGGCCAACACATCTAGCTCAAATCCAGGGCAGCTCTGTCTGCTATTATGGAAAAGTTCTAAGTGTAGATACTGAGCACTTGAATTGTGATGTACCAGAAATCATTGAAATTTTTATTTCATGTCAATAAAATAAATTTAAATAGTCACATATGTCTTGTGACTACTAAGTGGATAGCACCACTGGGCTTATGACTTCATCAGAAGCAGAATTTGGAGGGAGCTGACACTAAAACTACTTCAGGAGATAAAATAAAAAAAGTGAAATGCATATACTATGGTCAAACAGGAACAATAAAGGGATATAAAATAAAAACCTGTGTCAAAATCTGTCCCTATAATT